TAGAGCCGTGTATACCGTAGTGTATAATGTCAGACTCATCAGAGAACAATAGAATAGTAGAATGTACAGATCTTATGATACATTGTAGTTTTATTTCAGTGATAAAAAATTGCACATCTCACTTTTAATTAATCTGGTTTATTTGTTTGTCACAGAAAATAAGTTGGATCATCAATGAGGAAGAAACATTTAATTTTGTACGAACGTGTGCCTCGATGCCAAATAGAAACATGTACTACTGTTTTCATATCACATACATACGCTTATTATTATAGCTACGGTAAACAAAAGACAGTTTCAAAATATAGACCTTTGTCCTAACCATTTTTATTAAATTAGCTACATCTAAGTTTTTTTTTAGAAAATGAATACAATTCTCAAAGACATAGTTTCCCCTTTTAATCACATAATTTTTTCCACCAAAATGCATTTTTTTATGTATTTTTTATAATTATAATCATATTATTTTCCATTATGTCCAGGTCTTGATCCAATTTTTTAAATATCACAAAAATTATGCAGATCTATTTACGGAGACAGATGAAGTCAGTCAGATGCAGTCCATTTTAACACAAAAAACATATTCAGTGTTTTGGGACTACATACATAACAGGGATTAGTGACCAATTTTCTATCACAATGACAACTACTGTGAAATAATTTATTTTGCACTTGAAATTAATTTTCTCTATTTTCGCAGAAGGAAATTTTCAGTGAAAATAAAATCCAGTGAATATGTATTTTTCCTATATTTTACATTCAACTTGTGAAAATTAACTCCATAGAAAACACTCAAAAAGTCTTTCCAGCAAAAATTAATTCCAGCTAAAAAAGAAAGTAGTCTACAGTATGTACTATCTCAACATCAACCAGTTTCAATTAAACATGAATGATGTTTGAGTCAAAGGCTACTATATCATGTTCATCCTACTTTCATTATTATAGTAGGTTTATGCAGAAAATATTGAAAATGACAACAACAAAAATCAGGGTCACTGGACACTGACCAAAATTGTACACTGGTTTCTGTGGTGACATTATTTCTTCATATCTCAAAATTTTACTAAGTGGTCAACGATGAAAAAGTCATATATTTTTATTCATACAAATCCTAATACAATTTTGACATGGAATTTTATAATAGTATAATTTTCTATTACCGTATATACAATGAGAAATTCTTTTCCATAATGCATTGTATATATATATGTAGCCACACGCATTGTGACACAAATTCAATTGAAGATGAAGAACATTTTCTATTGAATTGCCCAAAATATAACACACACAGGGAAAAGTTCATCCAAAATATTATGACACTACTTTCATCCAAAAATAAAAATATACAGTTCACATATATACGCTCAAGCAAAGATCCTGGCATAATTATAGAACTTGCCAATTATATTTACACAACACAAAGATTCATTTAACATTTAAATACTAGTATGTTCTTTTGTTTTGTTTTTTTACAATATTTTTACATATATCTTGTTATTATTTTAAAACTATTTTTTGCTGTAAATCCTATGTAAATCTTTTTACACGGAGGCAATAAAGTTATTATTATTATTATTATTACTCAGTAGTTCAAAATTTGGCTTGAACTGCCACAACAATGTTCACCCAAAGACACATGTTAGTGGATGAAAAATAACGACCAATAGTTTTTATATCTCCATCTGTGGCCTGTTCATTAAAGCAGGGTAGGTATAGGTACTTTTTTTTTTGTTCAACTTTAAGTAGGATTTGTCTTGGTGGAGCCTGTCACAGTGATGACCACAACACTTCCAGTTTTAACTCTGTATATGGAACACCATACCTAATGTATGAGGGAACCACTCAAATCGCAACTGGTACTTAAAACTATACCTATAACTCAATGTATTATAGCTTCAATGCATACATGTAGTGATAATTTACTAGTTCAGAAAAATAAATCTGCTTTGGCTAGTTTTTTAAAATATGATGTTACGACTAGCAATGACAAGTTCATTAACAACTACTGTAAAATACTTTATTTTCGCTTGGAATTAATTTTCGCTTAAGGCATAATTCAGTGAAAATAAAATGCATTGAATATACCTTTTTGCCTATATTTCTCATTCAACTTATCAAAAATCAGTGAAAAAAAATTCCATACAAGACACCCAAAAAGTAATAAATTATTAATTCCGGCTAAAATAAAGTATTTTACAGTACCTTACTCAGCCAATGAGTTAAGCTTGGTTTTAACATTTTTTTTCAAATTATTGTTATGTACTTTTTCACACATTTGACCATGGCAAGCAATTATGTCTGGAATAAAATTCTATTCTAAGTGACAAAAGACAAAATTAGGGTTTTAACAAAAAAAATTACTTCACGTGAGACAAATTTCATTAGAGAAAAAGTGTCATCATCAATAACATCAAAAATGAAATGACTTTCAAAAAACTTCGTCTTAAATGCCATGGCATTATTTCATCAGATCACACCATATTGTTAAAAAAACAATTATATTTAAGTATTTTTTTTCATTATATATTGATTCCGAAATTATCGAAATGTACTGTAAACATCTTTAATTTAGTGAGGAAACAAATTTTCATCAAGTAAGCGAAAATTGTAAAATTTTGTAGCAGTGAAAAACTTTCTGAGATCAAACAATGCAGGGTTTTAGCGACTTTTGCAAAATTTTGTTTACAGAAATACCATCCAATCGTGATAATTCAGCCATTCGCAATGGGTTCGCAAAATTTAACCTTTAGAACGACTAAGTCAAATATGTCCATGATTTGATTCAAAATTAACATTATAGGAAAATTCATAGGGTTAAACTTAGATCCCATTATCTTTGAAGAAATAATCTAATAAATTCAAACTGAATACTTACTTTCTATTGACGAGTATGCCATATTTTCTTCACTTATATACACTGATGGGGATGGGGACGATTCAGCAGCACTAACAGGAGCATCACTCACTGATGTCGACTCTTTACTAAGTATCACTATATTCCTTGCAGTGCCCGTGACGCCACTTGCAGCATTATTCATTGCAAGCACCCATTTATCCAGATCTTCTCGGCTATCTGCAGCGAACCCTTGTGTACTGGCATCATTGGTGATGATCTCGAAATAGTACTCTTTATGTTTGTTCTTGACTATTCCGACACACGTGCTACGATCCAGATATACGGTCTTCCTTTTTGTGTTTTCTTTACCAACTTGTTCTTTGCTGTCATAAATATGAAATGCTGGTTTACCATCGTCTTGCTGGGAGAGCGACAATACACACCATTTTTTTTGCCAAGATCTCTGTACGTAGTAAATGGAAAGGTCACTTCAATAAAATAACTACAAAATTTGCTCTAATTGAATGGGGAAGTGCATCACTAATAAAAGCACATGTAAACAAACAATAGCTTTTATTATACTATACTGGATCATTCAAATACAACTTATTATGACCATAAAACACAACTCTGTCATTTACTGTTACATCTATGCACTACTAAAAGAGCAAATATACTTTGTATATGGATCATTATGACCATAGACACACATAAGTCATTACATAAGTTTATGCACTACTAATAGAACAAATATGGTATTGCCCTAATGTGAAAAATTTTTCACTAAGCTGGCTATTTTATTCAAACAAATGTTTTTACACAAACCAAAATCACATATAATTTGGTCGTTTAATGACAGCAGATATCAATTATGACATACTTTCCTGAAACACAACTGGAGAATTGAGCCACACACATGTCAAGAATATGAATCAGTATCACAAAGTTCAAGATATCAGCTAGAACATATTATACTGATTGAAAAACAAGTAGGAATACCTCCAGATACCAGGCGTATAATTGTAATATTGGTGCTAATGAAGTACATGTATTACTAGAATATAACCATCAAGGCATGTCAGATACATGTTCTATGTTCTATCGCATAATTTCACTATATGACACTATATGAATTCTGAGATTACTAAAACAAATGTTATTTCTAAGAATGCAATAAAGGTACAAACATTTGAAAATAAGAAAACTTTCAAGTGATAGCTACATTATAAATAGCCTAGCTATTAAGTCAGTGAATAATATCTTTATGTTTTACAAAACTTAAGTTTTATCTGTCCATTTATTCTACATTCTGTATGTACTTGTTTCATTGGTTATGTAATTAACATTTGATGTTATATTGTCTTTTGACTAATGTCAATAAATATACAGTCATTATGATTGATAAAGAAGGTTCTTAACTGTCTTTTTGAGTTAAATATTTTGTGGAAAATGTATTAATTACTCATAAACCATCCACTGGTAATCTGAAACGATTTATTTTGGTTTATTTACTAGATCTAGTATAGGGAGGTTTTCTTTAGACACTTTCATACACATATTAGCATGAATTGTAGAACATAACCTAGCCCATAGTTGGTTTACAAGCTCAAAGTTCCTTCCGTCTGTTTCCTTTGCACTATGGTTATTTATAGTTATACGGGACTACCAGGGTAATACTTTCTTCTAATATGCGCAGACTGTGTTAACTCAAAACTGATTTTTGATTTTTAAATTTATATTCACTTTCATAGACTAGTTTTGAAAACTGAAAAACTAGCGCCGCCCCTCCCCGTACAATACTGTACTATGTCCTTGATTATAACCATTCTAGAAGCTGTCTCAATGGTCCAATACGCACACCCGGAAGTATTTTTGCGATAAGTACTAAAATAGGCCTTTATGAGGAAGTTATAGGATATGTTACATAGAACTCAATACTAATATGTAGCTTACCATGATCTTCTGCTGAAATTTGTGGAGATAACCAGATTGCAAAACTTCGTCAGCCATGGCAATTTAGCAGATTTGTTTGTGCCTAACATCGGAGTCGGCAACAACCATCCGTTCCGCAAACTTAATTTGTTACTTCTACTTCCGTGTTCAAAGTTTGAGTCGCGTCACACTCTCGCGATGATTGGACTGGCTGCGAGACTTGCTTGAACTTCGACACACGACCGGAGGTCACCGTCGGCAAAACGTTGTGTTTACGAAGAAAGCGAAGTAATGATATTTGGCTTATGTGATCAATTTATTATTCTAGATTGTAGAATCAGTCGATATCAGGTTGATTTTAGTGTTCACTTCACTGTTCACAACAGCTGAATCTCAGTTGCACAGACGATTGGCGGGCTGTACTGTTTTTGTCATGAGCTATGATTCTAAAAAACGATCCGTAGAATCCGGACGTGACAAGCCTTCAAAGGTAAGTGCCAAATTTAATTGGAAATGTTTATTTTCAAATGAAACTCAAATAATTTATCGTGTTAGAAATAAAATAGAACGCTTTTGTTGCAACTTCCTATACATGTAATAATAA